TATTATACAGAAAATGTATCTTACCCATTCTTGAATATGGTATTTTAGTTTGCAGTAATTTTAGACATAATGACCTGATTAGAATTGAAGGTGTTCAAAGAAAGTTCACCAAAGCTGTTCTGGGGTATACCGACAACAAAGACTATCACCAAAGATGTTAACAATTCAACTTAGAACCTCTTTGAATCAGAAGTATCAAATTAAACCTTATCTTTATCTACCAGCTTACTAACGGTATTTCCTACTCTTCGGTATCCAACCCTTCATACCTTATGATATCATCCCACAATCTACGCAATAAGGAGAATATTCTAGCGAATCCAATAACCCACACAAACTTACACCAGAATTTTTTCCTTATTCCCTACTCAACCATGTGGAACAAACTGCCAGTGAACCTCCGTTGCAGTGAACCTAAAACCCGGTTCAGAAGTCTCCTTGATCATTTTCTTTCCGAAAGCAGATTATATTACCCATTGAATATCATTGTATTCAATAATGATTTATACAAACAAGGTCCGTCACCCATCTAATTGCCTGAAAAGCAAAATGAAACCTTTGAGACTTTTCACGTCTATTTTATTTCTATTGATCTTAATATATGAAGTCTGCTTATGTTCGTATTTATCATTATTACCAGTATTAATATCATTACTGGTGCCCCGATACATGGGATACTCTTTTTATCTCTTCTTATCCTTCTAAACATATTTAATTCCAGATTGTCTTTTAAAATCAATTGTGACTTTCATAGCATCATTCTTAATTATTATTGTACAAATATTTATACTAATATCTGGTTTCACTCTGTATATCATTACATAAATCTAAATGTATTCATCCGAGTGCACTAAAGGGTTTTTACTTCATTCTTCTCAGTTGCCGGTTTACTTCTGAGGTCGATATTCATTATACAATTATTATTCTTATCACGGATGAACATTTTCACTAGGTGTCCACTTCTTTTCTCTGTCTTTTTCCCTTATAAATAAGTATCATTCTTAAGATTACGGAGTTTGTACTTAAGACAATAACTTCTGTTACACTCAAATTAACTTCTCAGACTCGTTTTATCTTCACCATGCATATATGCTTCATACAAATTGATATTTGATTATTCTTTTTATTTAATTGAGACTTTCATAGCATCACTGCAAACTATAACTGCACAAACATATCTTACTGCGATAATAAGTTATTTATTCTTAAATATTTTTTGTTACCAATTTGAGGATATATACATGCTCGTTTATTCATGTTCTGTGTTCATAAACACGCTTATTAAACTATTGTCGTATTTCACGTCTCCTTTATTTCTATCCCCTTATTTTCTCCATTTCTTTCTTCAAACTCGATTCAATATTCTTCTCAATTACACAGATCCGATTTATTATTATTCTATTATCATTACTTTTTTTAATATGGCAAATATAATGCTAACACTATTGAAAATTGTGTATTATTACTTTTTTTGAAGAAACCTAAAATGGTTTCTTTACAACACTTATGTTTGTGAATAATAATAATATAGCTAATCTGCTGACTTTGGTCGACAGATAAACAAACATTCCTCATCGCAGGAAGTAGGTTAATATAATGTACCTTGACGTCTCAAAAGCTTTTGATGGAAACAATCATATATTTTTCATCAATGAGCCCAAACGACCATATATGGAGTCATAGTTATTAGATTTCCTTACTTCATATCCAAATGATCGACTGCTTAGGGTCAGGAGAAACTTTACTTTTTCTCAGACGACCGAATGTTTCAGTCAAGTCTTTCAGGGTTCAGTATTCAGACCTATCTTTTTCCTAGTTTATATAGATGACCTTGCTTAGCAAGGAATGGCTGAATATTTTTATCTTCGCTGACGTTATGCAACTTCGGTGATAAGTTTGTGACCAGGATGATAAGCTGGCAGTTTATAAGGATCTGAATCGTCTTTAAAGTTGAGCGAATAATGCAGACTCATTTTTAACATTTCGAAGTGTAAACATGTCCATCTGAGACATGCTTTAGACTACGCATACAAGTTGGCTAACTTTTATCCAGAGGTTTCCTAAGTTGCGAAAGATCCAGGTGTTCTTATCCAATGATCTTATGTCTTACGTCAACTGAGACGAAATTCCTTTTCGGAGCAAACCTTGCACCAATAGCTTTGAGGTACATTTTAAGCCGGTTTGACAGTAGAGCTTCCTCCTTAATCTTCATCGGTTTTGTTTGACTAGAGTATGGAAATATAGTGTTTGTTCCCTAACTCTAAAAGGATAGGGATGCAGTGAGACATATCCAAAGGCGAGCGAAGAAATCAGTTCGAGGACTTTTCATGAGTCCTTTAGAGAAAAACGTGACACTATATTTTCAACGAAATCCAATAATATTTCTCTTTTACCGTTAAATCTACCTATGTTCCCACCTTTAAGCCTTGATGATCCACTGCTGCTAGATATGAAAGCCCGTCAAGCGAAAGCTTTTTCCATTCCGCTCCGAACCACTTGAACCATTTTTGGTCATATGTAACAGCGAATTCGTTTATCTGTACAATCAAATTTGTCATCCTTTCAGATATTATCAAACAGTGTAAAAGCAGCTAAACGGTCAACACATGACAACAAAATTGAATTTACGTTCAATAATTTCACCGAGATCAATTCATACTGCAATTGAGGATCTGGGATTATTCGAAAATGTGAAATCGGCAACTTGTTGTTAAAACAGTCACATGCCGTCGTTCTTAGACTGGGTATTTATTTCTAATTGACAGCCTCACGATCCTGGAAAGAAGCGATCACGCTGTTGTAGCCCCTGATTTCATTAGCAAAACTGAGCAAAGACATTCCACTAACAACAGGCTCTGGAATTTCAAACGTTTGAATGTGTCCGTTGTACATGATTGGGAAAATTACCCTCAACGTGATGTGGATGCTCATTGCAATTTCTTATTGCACACGCTCTTATGTGTTGCAAAGTAGTCTGTTCCTCAAATGATCCCCAAAATCTACAAGCCACCTACAGTCATCACGAACCGCATTCTTCGTTTACTAAGCCGCAAAAGGCATTGTTGGGCGGAATACAAACGAATTGATAACAACGGCGTGCACAAGCAATACAAATATATGAGAAACATATGCAAAAAGGCAATGAAAGAAGACAAGCTTCAATGCCAGATAAAGTTTATCGATAAATTTGTCTCCAATCCGAAAAGCTTATTTTATTATGCAGCCTCTCTTCAACAAGCTAAAACTGAAGTTTCCCAACAACTAGGTCCTAATGACCTAAATAACGACGGTACCACCGCTAATTTTCTAGTTGAACAGTACTCTCGGACATTTCAACTGATTCACATTGACTACATTGATGTAAGCTTCATCTGCAACTGCACAGGAATTTCTGAAGTGAACCTGATATCCGTCTCGGTATACCGGAAACTGCAGCACCTAAAAATGACGTTTCTCTTGGTCCGGATAAGGTAGATTCTGTTATGCTGAGGGATGTAGCTTCAACCTTGGCAACACCACTTAGCGTGATGTTCTCACACTCGCTAAGCCGAGGCACATTATTGAGATTTCGAAAGATTGCCCACATCACACCGATTTTCAAAGGAGGTCGACGCAGCGAACCTTCAAGCTACCGACTGGTGGCTCTTCTTTCCATTCCTTTAAACATTATAGAGTGCCTGAAATGCGACAGTGTACACGACCATTTATTATCCTTAAATTTCTTTTCAACACAAGAGCATTGTTTCAGGAAGGGTTACTTTTGTATAACCAACCTGCCGACTGCTGTGGACAGATGGACAGCCATCCTTGATCTCAAGGGGAGGGTTGACATCATTTACCTTGATTTATTAAAAGCTTTTGATGGGGTGAATAATATATGTGTCTTATCAATAATCTCAAACGACTGGGTATCAGACCACCCCCAATTGACTGGCTCATTTCATACCTGAAAAATCAACACTTTAAAGTCAGGGTTAACTTCACATCATCTCAGTCTATGGAATGTCCTAGTGAGGTCCCTCAGGGCTCAGTACTAGGACGTCTTCTCTTCTTGATTTACATGAATGATCTTCCACAACACGTATCGTCAGAATTATTACATTTACTGATGACGTGAAACTTTGGAGAGATACGCAACCAAGAGGACATACTGGCACTTCAGGAAGAGCATACTCAACTTCAAAGTTGGGCAGACGACAACGGACTTACCTTTAACGCTTCAAAGTGTAAAGTAGTCCATCTGAGACATGTTGCAAACTACAGCTACAACTTAGGCAACTCCCCTCTAGAAGTATCCCAAGTTGAAAAATATTTAGGAGTGCTGGTACCCTACGATTTGAAGTCTTACGCTGTGACAAAATCGCTTTTCGAGCAAACCTTGTACTGGTAACACTGAATCGCATTTTTGGCCAGTTTGACGAATGAACTTTTGACATAATGTTCAACAGTTTTATTCGTCCCGATTTAGAGTACGGAAACGTAGTATTCCCCTCATTCCAAAAGTATAAGGGCACTAGACCTATATCCATTAGAGTATAGGCATCTTAGAGGTAACCTTCTAATGGTTCGCAGTATTCTCAACACTTCTGAACACCCCCTTAAATACCTAATTAAGTTTAGCTCCAACACACAACTAAGGGGTGACACCCAGAAAATGGAGACACAACACAGAAGAACGGACCATGGACACAACTTCTACTCCTTAAGGGTTGTCAAATGCTAAAATTTTCTGCCGGCTGAGCTAGTTCAAGCGACCTCTCAAGAGTCCTTTAAGAGATGATTTGACCCATTCTTATGTACTAAGGATAGTATCACTCTATGATTTACCAATTTTTATGGATAATATACCTGGGTTCTTGTCTGGAAGTATTGGTGATCCACTGCTACTAGACGCGGAAGCCTGTTAAGCGAAAGCTTCTTGTATTCCTTTCACAACCATTTGAACCATTTTAAATGGCACCCACCTAGTTTACCTTTCGGCCTTGGGTTTAGCGCGCAAAATGACACTATTTCAGAGTTCTGAGAAAACTAATGACCCCCTTGATTCTTCACAAGATCGTGGGAAAGATTTCAAGTACAATAATGATTTAAAAAACAAATAATATATTCCAATTTTCACTACAGAACTGAATCTCTATTATGTCGTTTGAAGTATCAGAATAATTTACCAGAGCTCCCTTTCGATCCTAAATTTTTAGTATATCCTCTCGAACCTTCCAGGTTAAATTGCTTTTGATCTTTATATATTGGTATTAGATTCCTTCAATATGTTGCTACCTCTCTGGAAAGGAACTATAAGCATGAATTACTCACAGAAACAGATGTGGGAGTTGAGGTTGACTTAATTGATCCTGATGTTTTCCGAATTGACAAAAGAGGTATATTTTAGTTAAACTTTTAAGTGATACAAAATAGCAACTCTTCATCCGGATGATGAGCGACTCTTGGAAGATGAGGCTCCTACTTTTGTCAATGCACGTAAATCTAGACATCAAAAGTCAGTGTCCTGGCTAAGGAAAACAGAATATATATCTACCGAGCTTTACAATCGTTGGAACAAATCAGAAAAGGTGGAGTCTAGGTGAGTGTTTATTTGTCATTATTTTCAAAGACTTGGGTACAATGTTAAACGCCATCTCAATGAAGAGATCGTGTATCGTGATCGCGAAAGCCAGATCAACGCCATTGAGGAAACGTTCAAAGCAGCTGAAAAACCTATTCATAAGCACTACAGTAAGCCAAACGTGCACGCTTTGGAGGTACTACCAGTGTTACCGGACTTCACTTTATGGAGATATCCATGTGCACAGGTCAGTTGCATTGATTTTTCAAATAGGTTTTATATATGAAAATAACAAACTCTAAGCCCTATCCTACAACTAGTGCTTAACGTCATAGCTTGTTTTCAAGTGCAAGTGGTGTTACAATCATGTAACTGCTAGTTAAGTGAGGAATTAAAGATATAGTCCTTGGACTTTGTAGACCCTGATCTTGTTACATCACGCTACCTTAAATGAAGGTTTAACAAGCTCCAGACTAGCCAGCTAAATTCTCTAGTAATATTAGTTTTGTTCCAGTATTAACCAGTTTGTAGTAGCAATATAAGCTTTTAACATGGTCGATCGTTTATTGTCATTAAGTTGTGTTTTTGGCCGTCCTACTTTTGTAAAACATCATATACCTTACTTGTTTTCTTCCGTTACTAATCAGCCTTCATAGGGTATTTGCCGGCTTATGGATGTTAAGTAACAAAAGGCAATGTTTTTAAAAACATGTGTAGATGATTCTTACGAGACTCAAGCCTTTTCGTTTCAGAAATAGATCCTATTTCGTCTGTCACCAAATGTGTAGAGCTGTGGCTTATTAATTAGGACATCCACTATCCAGTTTCTACGTCGTACTCTGGTTCATTCAACTGGGTAGCTTCATTAGAATTCATACTCATACCCAAGTACTTGATGAATGACTTAATTGTTTTTTATTTACTTATCTTTATTTCTTCAGGCGTTTAAAACTAAATGAATTGGTTGTTAGAGTTTTAAAATGTAATAAATTGTTGGGTTCATCACGCTGACTAAGTATCGTTTTGTTTCTGCTCATCGGACAAAGGCTGTCACTTAAAAGTGTACTTTAAGTACTTCAAGTTTTTTTGTGCTGTCACATAAACATTTGACTGTTCTACTTCAAATATAAAATTTATTCTTTAGCTGAACTAGGAGTGGTTGGCTAGCTTAGTGCTCAACCTGTTCTATTTCTCTAATAATTGTACCGCAAAAAATGTGCAGTTTATGTAAACGGACTGCATTATATGTCTTCTAACGATATGTCCTTGTTTCTTTTCATTACATGACTGGATACTTAAAATGTGTGTCTATATAGTATTAATAGTGCCTTTGTAACTTTGCTTACCAAGTAAGATCATTTTTATTAAAATATTTTTTTGCTCTTCCAATAACTTGGTAGTCTGAAACGTGTATGAAAACATTCTTAGTTTTATACAACAAGCACAATCAATTTTTAGTAATCTTCATTGATTGCAACTTTGGTCAACAATCGTTTATTATTCATTCCTCGTGTGCTTCTTTAGAAATATTGGGACCTTACATAATACAAGTTTCTTGGTGAAACTTGTTTTAAATTCTTGTGCCCAAATTTTAACCCAATATATGTGTTTAGCAGACCAAAGTAAAAGTTTCTGGGAACCGTTTCCATGATAAATTTAACAAAGTTAATCTTTCTGGTAACAAAAGCACGCGACTATGCCCAAACTTTCTCATAGCCTAGGACTTCGGACAAAATAAAGCAAGTTTTTTAAAATAATTATTTTTCTCTACCTTATGGTTGCGGCCTATACAAATTGCCTCAACAGTGACTCCATATATCTTGTTTAATCTTTCCAGGTTATTTTCGATGATGACCCCTCTCGTAAAAATAAAACTACCACTGAACAAAAGGAGGAGGTGAATCAAGCAATGATTCGGTTAGTTTCTCACTCCCTTTTTTCATGTTGTGGCTGATTTTTTAACTGCTGCTTCATTATCGACACGCTAAGGGGACATTTTTAGAATGGCTTTTAATTTCTGCCCCAATATGTTCCAAATTCTTGGTTGCGACCCATAAGGTAATCATGGACAATGTTTAGAAACTAGTATGTCTCTCCCTTTAAATCTTGAGTTTTCTATTATCCCATTCGTTTCATTCTTCAATCCCATCCCTTGTTTTTTAAGAGATTTCTTATGTTTAGATGTTCGGCGTAATTGGTATTATTTTTTCTTTCTTGCTTCTCAATAACTACCTTTCTGGTTTTACTGATATAAGGTATGACATTTTGGACGGATACCCATTGTTGCTAGATCCAAAATTGACGATGGACGACTGACAAATGAAATCGATTAGAGATTAAGTATTGCTTGTTTTGTAGGAAATGATTCGCTTACATTATAAGCATGAGATATTTTAGTAAAAGTGTCTTTATTTACATACCCTTGTAGTACGGTAGTTCTTACTTAGTCAAAATCTAGTCTGTCTTACAATATTTTGTTATCCCCAATCTGCTTACTATAACTGACTTATTTAATAAATTTGTTAGTGTGTTCTGGTTGAGGTTATGGGTGATTTGTTTGGAATTTATACTTATTTATAATTCACAAAATAAATGTGTTATAAGCTTGACTCATAATCTACTTGACTATCCCAAAATTATCTTTTGTTAATTGTAGTGGTATGGTAGATGAATCTGGCGACCATTTTGTTGCTTACTTCCTACCAACTGAACAGACTAAACAACTACGTCGTTTGGATGCTGAAAATCGAATACCATATACTGAAGATGCTGCCTATGAATATGAACTCACACGAGAGTACAATTGGAATGTCAAAAATAAAACTATGGCCAATTATGAAGAAAATTATTTTTTTTGTTTTCGTAAAGATGGTATGACTTCATATGTAATTTGTCAACTGTATTTTTTCTTTATTATTGTCTAAATAAGATTTTGTTTCTTACCTTGCAAATATGGTCGATCTGATTGTCTGTGGTTGTGATTCGGTGGGACCCATATGACCTGTATGTGAGTTTACGACGGAATGTGGTGCCACGTATAAGCAACCATGTAGTTGAAAGCACATAAATTTGCAAATCTCTTGCGTTTGATTCCTTTAATTCGACATCGTCCCGTGATATCTTTCTATCCGATGCTGTCTATTCAGACTTTGAAGTTTAGGTTTCCTATCAGGATGGTCAGGTCGTTCCTTGGTCTCCTCTCTATAGTCGATTGCAGCTTCTCATAAAACTGGTCTTTATCGTCTTTATTGGTGGGTGCATAACAGTGGATAACATTCATTTTGACCCCCCCCCTATTTTTTGAAGGATGCTTTGATGATTCTGAATCCATGAGATTCCCACTCCATAAGTGCTTTTCTTGCTTCTTTGGGCAACATCAATGAAACTGCCTGCTTGTGTGTGTGGAGCATTATTTTCTTCATGACCAGAGTTCAACAACATCTCTCCCAGATCTGTCCTTTTCTGTTCAGCTTCGGTCAAATGTGTTTCACTTATTATGAGCACGATCAAGTTGTATCTCCTCATTTCCGTAGCTATTTGATTGGTCCTCCTTGTCTCTCACATTGTCCGAACATTCAATGTACCGATATTAATTGTTACTCTGGTTGTTAGAAGGGGCATCGGCCTTATGACTTCGAAGAATCTCGGCCTTCAGAGTGAGGTGCCATAATTCTTCTGAATGAAGGTCCTTCTACTCACAGGACAGAATTTGGATTGTTTATTCTAGTTAGTGTTTTTTAGAAATATTGTTTTGTATGGAATGGGGTTTCTGACCTCATACCCGATCCTCCTCCTTTACTTAGCCTTGCGATCGGCAGTAACCCTAGAACAGCTACATGCGTGGTTGTGTAGATGATTGCACATCCAAACATCTTGGTTGGATTCAGGTATTTCGGTCTTTAAGTATCCTCGTGTCATGTATAAGAATATTCTCTTAAATTTGCATAGGATTTGTTAAATCTAGTTTGAACTTTTCACTCGTTACTTAATTCATTCCTGTATTGTTTGGCAAACTGTGTTCATAAATTCTATCGTTTTTAGAAAGTGACTTAGACTCACAGAATGTTGTGAATTACTTTGGCGGGGTTAGTGTCAAGGTCTACCATAAATACAACTCAGTAGCCAATTACATTTTTGCATAGTTTGTTTTGCATCACGAATTTTATACGAAAGCTAATGATGTGACCGGCATGTTAAAAATTGAGTAGATAGACTGTGACAATTATTTGTCAACTAACCCACCGCTTTGAAAAACATACTACTTAAATATCATTTAATTATTTTTGTTCTGGTAAATGTATTGTCATTGAATCTATTAGGATCTAGGAGGACGTGTATACTGATATTCGTTTTCTTGATTTTTTACAGGAGTTTACTATAACGAATTAGAGACCAGAGTTCGTCTTAGTAAACGGCGTAAATTAAACCAGTCTGGTACTAATGTTGGCGCTCTACAAGCCCCCAAAACTCGTTTAATTGTTCATCATCGAGATTTCACGGATGAAGAATTGAAGGCTCAAACTGACCGTTTATATATGCTGGAACATGATGTTGAAGGTGACGAAGAAGATGATGAAGAAAATGCAGATGGTGATGAAAATGTTGCTGATGAAGAATCGATAAACAATGAAAAAGAAACCAGTCGTAAAACTAGTTATAACGGTAATTTCAGGTTTTACTAGTGTATCATATATACTCGCAAATTTCCAGTATTATAAACTGAACTATATATTGTCATTCGACAAATCTCTGTAAAAATTATCAACCACTGTCAGGCTTGAGTGAAGTTTCACTTTCCTCTCAATTACCAAAATACTACATACCTATGAATTAAAAAGCAGTTTACCTTCATGGTGATTTGTGCATCAATATTTGTATACAGTTCTATTAAATAAGGCGGAGTCTTCAATCTTGTCTTACTTGTCACATTTATCATTTTGGCCACACTAATATTTGTCGTGATCACTGCAGCTCACTGAGGCAAACTAGCATCGGCTTTAAAACTGACTGAAAAAGTACTTAAAGATGCCCAAACCCGTTTATTTAACGGATATTGATCATAACAGCAAAAAGATTGTATGTTTCATCATTCAGATCGTGAATATCCCGTTAATCAATGGTTGGAGACGATAGATGATATAACTCGAAATCGCTTCTTATTTTAGAAGGTCCGGACTATTTGTTATCATATTTCTGTTTTTATATATTCATCTATCGGTCGTTTTTTTATTGTATTATTTTTTTGAGTTGACTTAATACTGAGTTGTAAATTGCGTTAACTTAAACTTGTCAGAAATTCCATATGTTCTTCGTTTTTCTGGAAGTTTTGTGATTCTCCAAACGACTGCGTCTTTATATCCAATCAGTTTGCCCGTTCCTTTACTATAGTTTTATATATTCTTTCTTAAGTAGTTTATTCCTTTACACCGTTCAGTGCATTGTTCGCAACATACCCATTGATAAAATTTGTGATAATAGTAAATTGTTACTACCAACAACAACTAGTTTGAGACCATGCAGTTTAGTTCATTAAGCTACTAATCTAATGTTTTTTATACTATCCTTACAAAAATGGTTAAGGGTAAAGTACATGTTTATTTCACTAGTATATTACTCACAATTACTTTTTTAAGATTAATGAATTCGTAGTTGTTATAAACTATTTTATTTTTGTTTGTTTGCTAATTTGATAGACACAAAACCTTGAAAAATTCAACACTAATCAATTACTTATTTACTTTCCTAACCAAAAGCAATTTAAAAATAGTACCAAGTGATAGAACTTTGATTTCATTATTATTCCAAAAAGCAATCAATGTGGAAATAAAGTATGTAGACGAACTGGTTTTACGGATTATTCATCCATCCATATAGCTAAAAAACATCCTTGTATTATATGTAATCCCAATTCGTGGTGTAAACTTTAACTGCAGTTCCCTACTTTAACGTCTAATCATGATTTTTGACGCTATTTTGAGCTTAAAAGTCAGTTATAAAATCTCTTAAGCTCGTTAGGGTAATTTAGTTCCATCATTCTCAGTTGCCATTTATGTCATCTGACCGACCTCTTTGGACTGAATGTGTTAAGGCTGTGTATATAACATATGCAACATAAAAACTCGGACATTGAATTATCTGTTAAATAATTCATTAGTTTTCGAAGATGATGTCCATACGATAAGATGATTGCTTGACTTACCTGTAAGCTAATCGAGTAAGTGGAACTAGATAAGACTAAAATTTGATAAATCATAAACTGTATTCACAAAATGGGGCTCAGCTTTTAATAAAGTTTTACTAAAATTATAAAGTCAAATATGTCGGTACCATGTTTTCTTTAGAAAAGTTGTAAAGGTTAAGTGATATTATGAATATTTCCTTCAAATGAACCTTGATAACTGCACATACCAACTATTATATCAATTCAGCATACTTAAAAGTGACCTATCTTGCAATAAGAATGATAAATAATATACCTATGACGATGAATTCACATTTCAGCATTTATTTTGTTTGTTGAAATCGCGTAAACTCGTGAAATACAGTCATCCAGTTTTACAACTAATTAAAAAAAGCATCAGGTTACGTCGATTGTAATTAGTGTTTGTGAAATATATATCCAGTTAGAATAGAGATATTCTAGTTTTTGCATACGAATACGAGTGCAATAGAAAATATTTTCCCATCTTCTTTATCTATTGTCTAATGAAAGCCAGATGAATTATCTTTTCTATAAACCAGTAAACCTGGTAAATTTCTCAAGTCACTATCTTCTTGGTACACATTTTTGTAGAAATGAAACCCTGTATACGAAAATTTGTTTGGTTTTAGGTAGTGACGACGAAGAAGAGGCAGAGGATGGAATTAGTGATGGTCAGAACACTGAGGCTGGTGATGAAGCAGAGGAGGAAGCTGAAGTCGAGGAAGAAGATGAAGAGGTCGAAGAAACACAGAAGGTTGAGGCTAAAAAACGTTTCCAATCTAATAATAACTATAATCGTTCCAAAACGTCTCATCATTCTGATGACGAAAGTGACTTAAGTGACCTGAGTGATTAATTATCATTCAGACCGGATATCGTGTATGCTTGTTTCTTGTATTGTATTAGTTTGTTTCTTTATTAATGTGAAAAATTACTTCGATAATGTGTAAATATATCTAATTCCTTGGTTGTTCTATTATACCATACAGTTTGCATTGTTGTTTATTTGCAATCTTTTGGTAATTTTCCATATCACTACAGGACATAATTCTGAAAAATTTCCATACTAAATAACTAGAATTTCACATAAAAGGTAGTTATAGTTCTCGTGAATTTTCAATTTTTATTCGCAATATAAACATCTTACAGCTACTTATGTTGAAAATGGTAACTTAAGGTAGACCCTTTTAATGTATTTAGTCACTTTTAGTAAATATTATAAATAACGCAAAATCCGACTAACTACTATGAACTTTGTAAGTCAGTACTTCGAACGCCCGTTGTAAGTGACCCTGGTCAACTTAATATACATTTCTAGGCCATTTCAAGATGTTCAAAAGCCAAATACGGGAATATATTAGGGTTGATTTATTATAAAGGTATTATCTCAGGTCAAACGTATATCAGCCAGACCAACACCAGCTAAGACGAAGGTGTGTCTAAACAATAGTATTAAGACGCCACATGTATTTGGCATTCGACAACGCCTTTACACGTATCACCTTTATAATCGAAGTATAACAACCCAGTCAACTTAGAAGTCAGAGATGAAGAGGTTTGAAGTTATATTTGGAAGGGGATCGGTATCTCGTGAAGCGTTTGATCTGAGCTAGCTAACGTTTGTAGGTGATGAATTAGCACGGCATAGCCACTCGTGGTCTGGTGCAGTTGCATGACTGAGCGCCTTCAGAGTATATCTAGTCACCGTCATTGTTGAAGACATGAAACTTATTTTAGCAATTTACCGCTACACGTGAATTTATATAAGGGTTCCAGTGAATAATTACAATTTTATCCCCAAATTTGGAGTAACAGATTTTGGTTTGTGCCTGCACCTAGTAATATTATGTCTGCCAAGATTGATAAAACCGCCTAGGCTAATAAGCCGTAGCTATATACCAGTCATCTGCTTAGTTCATATTACTTCATGTTGGAAATCAGTGAGTGTACTTTACATTGATTTTAGAGGAAAGCTGAGTTAATGAAAAATCAGTCATTCGAAAACGTCCATATCAATCATACTATTAGAAAGAGCTTGAGATCCTTCAAATATTTGCAGCCCTATCAATGTTCTACTTGGTTCTGAAGATAACCTAGGTGTCAAAGTGACAAAGATATATTTCTAGACAAAGATAACCATTTGCATTAAGTTCCCAAACTACATTTGAATACTCTCACGATCATAAACGGTATGCTTCGGATCCAAGTCGAAGGCCTTATCACATAATATAAGAGCTGAGGATTCGCATACTTTAAAAAATTATTTCACTATAAGCCTAGAACCCAAATATGCTTATATAGACTCTATGATGTACTAAGACTATATATCAGATATTTAGAAGGGGTACTAACATTCCTGTTCTGAATTTGAAACCATTGTGTATCAATGTGAAGCATTACCAGCAACGTAATCATTATTCAGAACTAGGAATACCGAAATCCAAAATATTTTGGCTTCACACCTAACAACGAAAGCAGTTAAATTTTATAAGCCACTTCAGAAGAGGTATTCCACATTCCAAAACGGCACACAGTTGCATCAGGGGGAAATATAAGTCATCCAATAAAGTGCGTCAAGTATGAAGTTTCTAAATCTGGAAACTGGTTTCGTAAAAATAAGAATTATAATGCCAATGCAATGTAAGTGAGAAAATGGAGCATTTTTACTGATGGAAGAAGACATTTAGACGTAATATTTGCAAAAGTGATCATTTTGTGCACTAGTACGCTCTCAGCTGGAATTACAGGCAAAATATACCTTTCGTTTTGTCGACTGTGTTTGGTCTGTGACTATCCTTCTGGTTTATTCGTGACTAATAGAGAAAGTATTGAACTGGCCTGGGAATTATTAGTTAGAATATCGATTTGATTTTTGATACTTCTTATCATAAGTGTCAATTTATGTGTGTAAAGGAAATCAATAGGTGAAAGAACTACTACTCGTTTTATTGCATAATTTACAGAATATTCGTGGAACTATCTAATTTTTAAAGAACAGTTTTACAGGATACACGAATAGATTCAAGATAAAAACTGTCTATAACTTCGGAAAAAAGCCTCATCTTAACCTGCTAGTAAGATTTATTGATGTCTAGGTTCGCCACCAATAAATGGTGGTTAAGGAGCTGTTATGTCCCGATAAGCATAATGAATGGTAGCTTTTGGGATCCACTTATGAACCAATACTAAACGTATATTTTTATCGTATAATTGTTAAATAACTAAACTATGCACACTGATATTCTTATTAATATAAGCTTTATTTCGACCTATGAACCATTATTATACGATTCTTGAACTATGCCCTGTCCATTAGTCACTGCCTCACACACTCACAGCCACATTTGGCCAAATTTTGTGCAACTGTTATTTTCTATTTTGTAGTACGTTGTGGTCTGTTTGATTGATATATAAACTTCGTATGTCTGAAATAAATGATTCATATCGCAGAGGCTGAGATTGGTGTTGTAGACTTAACTGGCTGGGCTAGGCGGAAAGCAGTACCAATCAAGACTGTAGACTGCTCGCATGTGTTTTACGCGTCTTTGATACAATCTTTAAATCACTGCTCTCTGATTGGCGGTATTATTAATTATCCATTAACAGGGCGTTCAGGCCACAAGTTATAACAGGAGCTTATTCAGTGATCCTTATCCCACTAGGTGAATTCCAAATGATTTCAAAACACAACAGATAACATAAATTAGAAAAATCAAGAATTGCGATTTTATGGATGGTATAGTATAATTGTTTCTGACTTGTTGGTAAGGTACTGTCTATTTGTACATAAGGGCCGTATCTCTTTAAAAGTTCTTAATTTTCGTATGACTTTATTTCACAATATACTATCACTAAAAATATAAACAGACACAATGGTCGATTTCATACATTATCATTCCGAATAAATTCCCTAGTGTCTTCACTTGCATCAATTTGTAGTGGCTTGCTTTCATTAAGAGAACGCAACTAGTTTAATGGAAACAATTATTATTATAACCAAATGTACCAGTGATTGTTTTACTGTGTTTGTTTGTTTAACTAAAGACATTCTTCCTTCCATTGTTTGTGACTTCGCACGCGCTTACGTGTGCTCAGTGATTCCTCTTGTACTCATTTGGCACGATCTCGGTATTCTTTCGATGCCACGAGATCGCCAGCGAATACATCTCGATTTGGTCCATTAATTGCATTCTGATATTTGGCTTCTCGGGGATTTTATGGAGTCATTTAGCGGTGTTCATAGTCAATTTCCACTCGACACCACGCTATAACTCAACGCCACACTACAAATTCATGAGTTCAGGGTGAACACGAATGCTCAGTGCACAAACACAGCCGCTTTCCACACCATTTGCAACGAAGAAAGCCAGATTCCAGACCCTTTCCCTTTTAAGACAGTTTAACAAGTCATGGATGAAGTTTGACATAATGTAGCTAGTTCTTTAGGGCATAAGGATCGCGAAGAGTTAGTAACGGATCCGAATAGTAATAAGGAATGCATAAAGTAATTACATCTATGAGGTGCATTTTCTGAGTGGTTTAGATTTTCTAACGGTTAGCGTTCAAACTATGAGCAACCTACCGAACAACAAATTTTAATCAAACACTATTTCCAACATTATTACTAATTGTTCCGTCGGTCATTTTAATATCCTGATAGACCGTTTTACAAATACAGAGATTTTACAAATTGTAACTCCTTTATCATAACTCAGTAATGGCGAGTAAATTTATCGAAATCTAATTACACCGGAATCCAACTTTAACAGAATCATTGTTCGACAAAGCTGATACTTGTATATTTGACGATATGTTGAAGATGAAGAACAAGTAGTGAAGCGATTATGGTAAGGATGAAAGATAGCTTAAATGTGAAATAAATATAAGAAAGTGCTTCAATTTCAAAATAATTACTAACCAAAGTTGAAGCCTTTTAATTTAGGTCATGCAGTTGTAGGCAAAAGACGTGGATGATCTGTATCGAATGGTTGGGGTCCCACTCGAGTTGGACGAGATTGATGTGACCAAGCAGCTAACGTCAAAGTTACACCTTATGATTAGTACTTGATGTAGATTGCATTTTCGTCGCATCTAGGTAATCTGGCTGCCTTGATAACCATGAAACACAAAAGACATTGTTACAGAATTATGTTGGTGAAAATGGGTACAAGGGACCGAGGGAGACTACTTCTGCGTGGGTCAGTGCATGGCATGCAATGAACTGATGCGCGTCGGTTGTCCTTGACATTGATAAGGATCAGTGAGCTGGTCGATATTCGGTGATTCGACTGTTGGATGATTTGGCTAGAGCTGTAGTGGCATTCGGCTCTAACACGAGACAGTATTGGAAATAGGCATTCAAAATTTAGCACGGAGAAAAACCCAACGATGATGAATTCGGGAAGAAGGAATTGAATTAATTGGAGTTGATCGGATGGCATGGCTTGACCATGTAGGCGTGGTCCCTGCTGAATGTTACCTTGTATCTTTTGTTCATATTAAATATATTGCTCTATCTCTAGCCTAAATTTGTTCTCCATCATGTATTGGTAACTGTTACATTGTAGTGAGTTGGTGTAGACGATGATGTGACTACCACGTAAGATCTTATAGATTAGGCAGTTATATCATGACAAATCTACTATTTTAGTATAAGTTCTATTATTAGAGCAGTACTAATATCATAAAAGACCTTAATTCTACAGAGCAAAGTGATATTTCACTGGTTTTACACAGTGGTTTCGTGCTTATGCTTGACAGGGAGCTTTTAGCTAGATTGTTCCATCGAGTTTAAATGCATTAGTAATGATTTCGAATGCTCACAACAGTATTTATCCAAGTTGTTCATATGCAAGT